GGTGTGGGAAGCGTTCCCCGTTCTCCTTTTATTTTATTTTGATCGGTCTCCTCGACGCTCTTTCTCGTTTGGTGCGGTAGCTGGTCTTTCTTTCTATCATTTTGTTTCTCTTCCGAGTGGTTTTTGTACCCTATTTTTTTCTGTTTCTTCGTGGGGTCGTGTATGCCGGGTTTTGAGACCACGGGCTCCCAATCTTTCTTTTTAGAGCTAATGTGAGGAACAACAACAACAACAACAACTGAACCACACGCCCACACACTACAATTCCACTACATACAGCTGTCCCGCATTTAACCAAAATGAATGTTTGCCGACTACATACAGCGTACTGCTGTCTGAAGTGCTGTCTGTACAATAACAACACCATGCATGGTGCATGGTACACATCTCGGGCCATGCAGCTGCTGTCTGACGTGCTGTCAGAATGAGTCTGTGGACATACAACGAAGAAGAACACCCAAACAAAGCCATCATTCCAATTGACAATCACCCGAATCTATCCAGATCATCTATGTTAGGCACAGCAGTGTAAACATCGACACCGATGCGGTTGACTATCGATGGATTCTAGGCACACATCTCTCTGTAAAAGGAACCAGCAGGCACGCACCTTTGCGCCGGTTGTGTCTTGGTTGGCGTGTGTGGGTTGCTGTGCTCGGCTATGCGTTGTGTGGCGTGTGGGTGTGTGGTGGTGGTCGCACTTAAGTCTTCTGGGGCGGAGAGACTATCCGCGAGCGCCACGTTGAACCCATGTATCAGTTTGTAAAAAAAAATTTCTTCACTTCAAATCAGCGCTCACGGCACTAGTGCCGTTTACTCCAACCAGTGCTCCTGCGGTACTTTTTCGATTTTTAATGCGAGAAGAGTTCAGCACTCTCGTCCCTCTGTGTACACACGCACTAGCGCTATCCACTAGGTCAGGAGCGGAAGCGAGAGAAAAACTCACTTTGCAAGAAAAGCTCGCTTACTCCGGGATTCGTACCCCTGACCTGACCTCTAGAAGGTTTCGAAGTTACCAACTAGACCACAAGGGCGACCGGCAATTTAAGTACAGAAAAATCATCTCCTATCGCTTCGCCATCGAACTCGCCATCAAACGAGGAGGGAGCAGGTGGCGACGAGCTGAACTGGGCTGGTTGACCATTCGGCGCGAGAATTTTTATTTTTTGTCAGACCAAGAACCTTGAGTGCAATGAGGGAGAAAGCGAGGAACGGACTGGGAAGGACAGCAACGAGAGCGTGTACGGACGGAGCAGGTCGAGTGGCGTTTTGCCCGGGCTGACTACAGCGGCGCCGGATGGAGCAGTGGCACCGGAGCATGCGGGCGACATCGACCCGTGGCGCACGGATAAACATTTCTATCTGTGTTGCCAATTTTTTCCGTTTTTTTTCTGACTTTCTGTGTTGGTTTTGTGTGATGACGTCGTAACCGGTTTTTTTGTAGAGACCCGTCAGAGATGGCGTGGCTAACCCGGGTGCCTTGGTTATGTGCCTGATCGTGGAAGACCCCTTCAATGTGGAACGATTCTTAGCTATTGTCGATATTTTCACTGCGTGCCTAACACAGACGATCGGGAGAGGTTCGGGTGATTGTCCATTGCAATCATGGCTTTGGTTGGTTGTTCTTTTTCACTGTACGTCCGCAGACACATTCTGACAGCACTTCAGACAGCAGCTTTGTGCCCCGCCAGCTTCTTGTTCCATGCCTACCATGGTGTTTTTGTACAGACAGCACTTCAGACAGCATTATGCTGTAGTCGGCAATCTTCCGTTTTGGTATAGAGTGGGACAGGGAGGGGGTGATGCTACTGTAGTCGAACGGTGGGACGGACGTGCAGTTCAGTTTTTGGGCACGCATACGGTGCTGCAGGGATTTTTAGGTGTACTTCTTCGGGCTCTTGGATACCTTTTTCTCGTTATATGTGTGCGTGTTCTTTAGATCCTCAGATGGCTCTAGCACTTTCGTGACCACGGGGCGAGAGTCTTTGCTAGATTTTGGCATTTAGCAACTGACATACGTTTAATGTGAAGACAACATCTTCTACTAGCTAGACGACCCAACCGGGGTCACATAGGAGGGGGGGGGTTGGACCCCCTCCTGCGGTTCTTGCCTGAGGTATTTTTGTCGCGAGAAGGGTACAGCAGTGTTGCGAACTGGGGGTCACGCGGGTTGGGAGATGTGTACAGCAAGTCAGAGGCCCAGGAGAGGCATCACAAAGCATATCACGCATACCACCTCAGCCAAGCATGATAGGCCAATGCTTCTCACGTGCGTTGCATACGGCGGAGCCTCGGTTGACTCGACTGCAGTGCGGAACAAACAGGCCTTTGAGTGTCCCAACGTGTCCGTCCCCAAATCGTCCCCAAAAATGGCTTCCAGTACACTAGGACGGTTAAGATCAACATCCGTCAACCCCGCATGAACTGCCAGCCTTTCAACTTGATCGTCCGGTACAGCCTGGGATTTGGGGAACATCGGCTCAGAGAGTTTACTACTTTACGTGCCGTTGAATGCTGCACACGTCGAACGTACAGCAGTTTGCCGCTGTTCTCATTAACGAAAAAGAATAATTACCAACGCATATATATAGGATACCATCAGGATTGTCATTGGTTTTATTTCAAGTTGAAGAGGAGATACTTTTACGATGTAAATGACAGTAGAAATAAGTCCTACATATGTTGTTGTACTTCGTATTGGTTTAATATTCATGTAGAGTATGAGACATTAAGTGAAAGTTTTCTGAGGTACATCTGCAATTGTCGGAAGGCAAAAATAAATAAATAAATAATTACCTCTTGCCTTGTGATGGGGACGGACCTGTGCAGACGTTGTGTTTTCCGCGGCAAGACTTGAGTTCGGTGGTTTGGTGGTTTGTGATGCGGCGGTGGTCGTGTGGTGTTGACGGTTGACAACGGTTGCGCAAGTACCCGGCAGCAGGACCACAAGTGAATTGACGCACGTACGGGCTGCCTGCCTTCTCTCTCCTGCCGGATTCCTCGTACCACTACAGCACTTGCCGGCCGCGAAGGTTAGTGTGCGGTGTTCTCAGTATGCCCTACTTCACACCATAGACTACTGCTATACATCTCTCCGATTGGAGCTGCCGGCCCGATGTTGAATTGTTTTCGGACCTTTGGTTGTTCCATGTTGTCCAGCAGCCCCGTGCCAGCTCCACTGCCCATCTTGGCCGACCGTTCTCACTCATGTCCGTCGAGTTGTGATCAACTGGCTGGCAACTCGGTGCGTATGATTACCATGTTTTAATCAGCAGCGGCGCGGCGATTACGTATATTATATATCTCGTAAGCTTCCGGACATGACTCCTCGTCTCTCAGCCCGGTAAATCCAGAGCTCAGAGGGGATCCAGAGTCGACCTGTTGTCACGGCAGGCTCATCATGTTAATCTCCTCCCGAGATGACATAGCTGCCTGTCCATGAGGCGTCAGACGCAGTCTCGAAAGACGTCCGCATCATGGCAAAAATATAATTTTGAGTGGTACCACAACAACACCAAACACAGCGTAAGAATCACACCACGCACACCTCCCCTCATACGTGTGTTTCCGGCGAAGGGGTAAAGGCCCGCTGGGGTCAATCAATCGATCAATCAATCAACAAACTCCACGGCAGTACCCTTTTCGGTGATCTGGTGTCATAGTCGGACTCGCGGGCTCACCGGTTGGCAAAGTATGCGTAGATTGACCCAGACTGCACTTTTCGCTTTTTTGCATGGAGCGGTACAACATTCACGGCATTGCTATGGTCCGTTCGGGCAAATATTCACAATATTTTCCCCTGCACAAAGGTGCACTTTTCTCGGGGTGGGGGTACTTATTCCGAAATAACAACATATTCGCCTGATTGAGAGCGAAGTATCTGATTGAGAGCGAGAGCCAAAAAAATTGAAATTTCGGGTCCAGACGCCTCTTGCCATTTCTTGGCAAGTAGGGGACGGGCTATTCCAAGAAGCGGTGCAAATTGAAGGTCTCAT